CTCACCATCCGAATTACTGAAGTGTAGTATAGGGGATAGTCTAGGGGTGAAACGATTACACCTTTCATTTCAACTATTGGTTAACCTACCGTTGTATCGATTCAATCATCGATCATGATATCGATTACAGGGCCCTAGAACTTCCTATTTTGGCTTGTCAAAGCCTAAAATTAGGCTTGAGAGGGCCGCGAGTCAGAGCTAAGCCACTGGGTGCCAGTGTTGCTCTATTTCCATGCCAACACAAAATGGCAACCCCTGGCCATATCACTTAGTGATTGTCCCTGAAAAATTCGGGGAAGAAGAATGAAGTTTGCTTGCGCTGCGAGCCATTTTTGGCGGCGCTGTCGTCCATTTTCGCCGATTTTAAGCTAGGTTTAAGGACGACAGGGGGCGGGGCGTCTAGAACGGAATCGGAGCTGATATTGAAGCGTAAACAAAAGGAGAGAGAGTGATTGGAAGACTACCGATAGTGATTCTAGAATTTCTAGCAGCATTGTCCTTTCAAGACGCCAAGAATCGCCTGTTCGAAGTAAAGGCCGCCATCATGGCCGCCATTGCATTTAAAAGAGTATTTATGACCCTAATTCAAGGGCGCTCTATGCGCCTCCTGAGTTCTGAAATGGCAGCAACGGTCATGAGATGCTCCTTGTGGGTCATGTCAGGGAGTTTGGAAGAGTTTTCTGTTCAAATTACCCGCCTGTTGTGCTCTTTTACACAAAAGCCTAAAATGAGGCTTTCGCAACACAAGCCAAGAGATACTACACCCAACACAATGGCACACAGTGAAAACCTTGGGCAAATTCCGTTGGGCAATTGCCGGCAATTGGGCAAACTCTATACAACACACGACTTCACACAACGCACCATCAAGGTTTTGAATTGAGACTGCATACACATACAAGCAGTTACCTCCTCAGCAGTAGACATGTGTTGATGGCCAAACAGTGGGTCTGGTGATGACCTGACCAACCGGACCGGTTCCGCCGCCGCCGCCGCGGGCCTGTATTTTGCTGAGCTTGAGAGAGAGAGAGAGAGAGAGAGAGAGAGAGAGAGAGAGAGAGAGAGCTTGAAAGCTCCGGGCCCTCGCTATACGTTTTTGCCTTGGTCACCATGCATGTTATTCGAACTGATGGAAACGTTCTTGCAATGCAATGATCGGCTAGATCATTGTATTGCAAAAACATTTCCTTCAGTTCGAATACCATGCATGGTGACCAAGGCAAAAAGCATAGCTAGGGCCCAGAGCTTTCAAGTTCTCTCGTTTTTAAATGGACTTACACTAGGTCAACAAATATTCGGCGCATATTTATTTTCGGCTATTTTCGGCCTCATCATATTTGGCCGAAGATTTGTTGCAGCCGAAATTTTGTTTTGCAAGGTTCAGTGTGACAGTGTATACAGGCAGCAGCAGTACAGGCTGAAAATTTGTTCCAGCCGAAATGTGTTTTAGCCCTGGGAGGCCAAAATTTGAATGGGTTGAAAATTTGTACACTTACAGTATTAGGTGAAGTATGAAGTTGCATATATTTACCTTGAAGCTCTTTGTTGTATTCATCATACGTTTCCTAGTCCGGATGATTTTGTATTGCAAAGACGTTCCCCAATTTTCCCTGAACAGAATTAAGCAATCGAAAGGTCTATTCGCATTAGAAAGTTCTCAGCTATCGCCTCGAACAAGAGCAAAAAAAATGTAGCACCTAAACGCACATGGATACATAGCTCAAAAACTCCAATTCCCAGACAGACACCGTATTCCCCCAAATATAAGTCGCACCTTTGTACACTAAAATTCAAGGGTCAAAAAGGGGGTGCGACTTACAATCGAGCATGACTTACTACTGAAGTCAACATTTCAAATCAATATTGCTCAAACCTGAAAATGGGGGTGCGACTTATAATCGTGGAAATACGGTACATTCTATCAAGTAGATGTATAAAACTATTAGTCTATTACGCTATGGTACAAGTTATGCGATCGAGTCCACCAACTAAACCAGATTTTGAACAGTCAGACGTGCACAATCTAGCACAAAACTTACAAGGAGTACTGAGACATTCCACAGCATGAAAGTCAGCTTGAGCACTGCTAACCAACGGCCTTCCAACTTGGAAGGTTCATGGATTTTAGTGCTAACTTAATTCCAAGTTGGAAGGCCGGCTTAAAGCTGTGTGGACCCTGGCTAGCGCCAGACACTACAAAATTAACGCCTCTTGCATGGCTACGGGAATAAGGAATAATTCATGGTGTCCAGCTGTCTGGGGACTCTGCTACCTAATGCCATAGGTTGTTTACAGGGGCGTCGGAACCGGTGTGGCAGGTGCGGCCAAAGCCGCACCAATAATTTTCGAAGTTTTTTTTTAAAAACATTTCAACCTTGTTGATGGCTTGTGGACTCTTGTACAGGTAGATCTACCATGTGTTTATATGGACAATGCGGTGTATCATCAGCATGCATATTCTTATTTCTCATATTATTCTGTAGCATTTATAAAATAGTTTCCTCTGAGACAAAAATGCGATAATACTCATAAAAAGGACACACTTCAGGCTCATTACAAACATCTTGAAAGTTTTTGTCTTCACAAGTATACTTTCAAGCCTTCTCATCAGGTGAAATACAGGCAAGGGAAAAGGAACAGGAACAGTGGATTAAATACAGTAAGAAGGTGGTAAAACAGCGCAAAAAGAAAGAAAGAAAGAAAGAAGATAGCTAAAGTAAACAGCGAAAATTGCAATAATGACACAAAGGTGCAAATGCGAGAAAACTCAATAAGCGCGACATGTAGTGCGACAACAAGAGACAACCACTGGACATACATGTAACTAACGAGGTTTTGACGACCTACCTAACAGCCTAAGTGTGAATTTGATTTGTTTCTGCTTGCAAAGGTTGGGTTTCCTTGTGTGGATGTATACAGCTTCCAAAACATTCAGCAATCTAGCACTGCGTACACGTGACACAATCGAAAAACAATCATCCGAATACACAGCACGACAATCAGGATGCTCAAACAAATGACTAGCAATGGACGACTCATACTTATCAGAACTAACATCAGAACAATCAGCATGTGCGGTGGACACATCCGATTTCACATGGCTAGTCGAGTGGACCCTAGCCGTTGCCTCTGTCTGTGCTTTAGTCGCTGCCATCGCCGCCGTTGCCGATCTTGTTATTCTTCTGGTTGATGCGGTTCCTGTCACTGCCACGCACGTAGGTGTCTTGTCCGGTTGTTTTTCTGGTGGTCTAGTTAATTGTGAGGTGACGTTCCTTTGTGTTGATGCCGCTGCGTCGGACCATCTTGTACCAGGATGATTCTTTGCTGGACGTCCCCTCCGTGGTCGAGTGGATCGTGCGTGTTGTGGAATAAGGTGTAGCGGTGCGTGTTGTCGGATGCGTGCGTCCAGATGTTGAAGAGTCCTACCTACATATCGGCTCTCACATTGCCGACACTCGAAGTGATAAATCAACTTGGACAATTGGCCTGTAGGTAGGACGTCCTTCCTCACCGTGAACGCACGCACCGTGGAGTAGATGAAGCGAATATGAACATTATGGTAATTGGACTCCACGGCAGACTTAACCCGACGCTGAACCATACGTGATACTGACTCGCCCTTCCACGGTAAACATAGGTATACTGGATTAGTGGAAACCTCAGCATTCTTCTTTGGACTGGTCTCAGTTACATACTTCACAATAACAGACTCGGGGTATCCATTGAGACGAAAAAGCGCACGTAACTTCTCCAACTCCTGCTCCAACCTTGAAGACGAACAAAGGCGACGTGCACGATCCACCAAATTACGCAACAAATTGATCTTATACAGTGTCGCGCAAAACGAATCCCAAACAATGTACAAGCCAGTGAACGTAGGCTTGCGATAGACCGACGTGACAACACCACCATCAATTGACTTCTCAACGAGCACATCAAGAAAAGGTAGACGATCTGACTCCTCAAATTCACACGTGAAATCCAACATACCATCAACAACCTTCCTCAGCAGATCACGAAATTGGAGGCACTGAGCCTCAGACTGAAAATACGAGAAAGAATCATCGACAAATCTCACATACAATGGGGGCATCAAACTAACCGGAATCTGACATTCGTAATAACCAACAAATATATTTGCCAAAACAGGACCAAGGGGCGAACCCATAGCAACACCATCAATCTGTCGATACATGACACCATCAAAGGAAAACTCCACACCTGACGTTACCAAGCGGATCATTTCGCGGAACGAATCTTCACGTAACTCGCCAGGCGGACATAGTGAGCGATGATATAGCGTTTCGCAGCAAATATCAATGACTTTATCCAAAGGGACATTTGTGAACAGACTAACAACATCGTAAGAGCACATAACATAGGTATCGGGGAAGGAGTGGTCGCGCAGAATATCGACAAATTGAAAACTATCGCGAACTACATACCGACTGTATAATTCTAAAACGGGTTGCAACATTCTACACAGCCAGCGAGAAATCTTATACTGGGGAGAACCTAACATAGAAAGGATGGGCCGGACAGGACAATCCCTCTTATGAATCTTCGGTAAGCCATACATTCTAGGGCGAGCTGAATGTTTTGGAAGCTGTATACATCCACACAAGGAAACCCAACCTTTGCAAGCAGAAACAAATCAAATTCACACTTAGGCTGTTAGGTAGGTCGTCAAAACCTCGTTAGTTACATGTATGTCCAGTGGTTGTCTCTTGTTGTCGCACTACATGTCGCGCTTATTGAGTTTTCTCGCATTTGCACCTTTGTGTCATTATTGCAATTTTCGCTGTTTACTTTAGCTATCTTCTTTCTTTCTTTCTTTCTTTTTGCGCTGTTTTACCACCTTCTTACTGTATTTAATCCACTGTTCCTGTTCCTTTTCCCTTGCCTGTATTTCACCTGATGAGAAGGCTTGAAAGTATACTTGTGAAGACAAAACTTTCAAGATGTTTGTAATGAGCCTGAAGTGTGTCCTTTTTATGAGTATTATCGCATTTATAAAATATGACCTTTTATGCGCAATTTTCAAAAATTTTCCCGGGGGACACGGACCCCCTCTCACACTTTGGACGCACCAATGTTAAACTGCTTCCGACGCTCCTGGTTTAGGTGTCTGAACTAGTCCATCAGTATCAGCAACAATACTGTATTACACAATGACATTATAAGTGTCTCGTGTGTCTGCATGGCCGCTGTATTACATAATGACATCATAGGTGTCTCATGTGTCTGCATGGCCGCTGTATTACATAATGACATCATAGGTGTCCCATGTGTCTGCATGGCCGCTGTATTACACAACGACATCATAGGTGTCCCATGTGTCTGCATGGCCAAGTCCTTTGCTGTATCCCGGGGAGTCGCTTTGTTTTAGACGCGAGGGCCTGTACCCCCCCCCCCCCCCGCCCATCTACATATACCGCTGAGACGGGCTCTGGCAAGTACGGTATCATAGCATTTGGGTACGCCCCCGGTCGCCTTGGCCTGGTAGCATGCTCACGCAGGCCTAAAGGACCATAATAATGATTGAGAGGGGACACAGAGAGAAGACAGACAGATCCGGCTATATACGGGAAGACAACGCGAGGAGAGAGGGGGGGGGGGGGGGTGGTGGTGGAGAAGAGAGAGAGGTAAGCAAAGATCAAAGGAAAAATCTTACGTGTTTTGTCATATTTTTTTGTTTTTGTTTTTTACAAAATCCACTTATCTCCAGACACTGGGGTGAATAATGGAGTGTGGTGGTGGGGCCCATTAAGCTCAGCCGACCAGAGGTCTCGGCTTCATAGCTCCATGGACGCATTGTCAAGCTCTTCAAATCTGTTTCGCTCTCATCATCATGATGTGTTTCCTTTGCCCCACGCCACGGTGTGTGTTCCTTTACAACAGGCGGGCTGTAAGTTATCACCTGTTCAGACCTTGATTGATACAAACCGGCCAAGCTGCAAAGAACAGACTGCTGCCTCCTCATCATCATGCTTACGTATCAGCAGCTCAGTGGTGGAGGTTCCTGCAGACAAGCACAATGGTGCTGCCCGCTTCTCTCGCGGCTTCTGATAGTTGGTTAGTACGTGTACATTGCATTGTCAAAGATTGCCATGTGTAGAAACAACTTCAAACAAGGGTACAGTCAAGGCCGGTAGATGCAGCTCAAAGTAGAGTGCTCAATGCACAACTGTGCACAGCACTCTACACATACAACGGAGGGGGAAAGTAGAAAGAAAGAAAATTAAATTATCGCGTCCGTTCCCAAATGGAACGCATGACGGCCGCTAACACCCGGCAAACCATAGCAGCAGATGCAGCGCCTAACGGTGGGGGTGAGTAGATAAGTCTCACAATCACTGGCGCAAATGCCGAGAAACCCCATTAGCCGAATCCATGTACCCCTTGTGCCTGGCCACAAGTTCCCAGTTGAATGTGGGTAGCAGCTCGGCTGGAAAAACCTCTCCCAGGCAGGACTTGAACAAGCGAAAGGTGAATGCCAAAAGCTTCTGTCTGATGATGGCTATGTAAGCCCCAAGGGTATATAGCCCCAAGGGCACATAGCCCCAAGGGCACATAGCCCCAAGGGTATATAGCCCCAAGGGTACTCTAATTTCAGAAATTTTCGGTGCTCAATATTTTCGGTATGAGGGCAACAGGCTAGGTTAGGTGAACAGAAATTTTCGGTACAGAGAAGCAGTTCCCTATTGGATTATGTTTGTTAGTGTTTGTTCGGTGTATTGAAATTTTAGGTATGAAACAGACGCACCGAAAGTACCGAAAATAAAAGTACACCGAAAATTTGTGAAATTACAGTATATAGCCCCAAGGGTACATAGTCCCAAGGGTACATAGTCCCAAGGGTACATAGTCCCAAGGGTATATACATGTAGACCCAAGGGTACAATACCCTAAGAGTGTGCTGTTCTGCAGTTGGATCCCGGGACGGATACCCTGATGCCGTCAATCTTTTTTTCTGCACCTTGTCCTCACCCACTTAGGCTGCGTTCGTTTTTAGCTACTTGGTAGAGTAGAGTAGAGTCACTCTACCGATAGAGGTAGATGGTAGAGGCAAGTGTACGAACGCTGTTCTACCAGATCTAGTAGTTTACACGATGCGTACGTGAAATGTTTCTTTTTTTTATGGAGTTGTGTACAAATCCTTGATCTTGCTGGAAATCCCGTAGCTCTACCAACTTCTACCGGATTCTACCAACTTTTTCCCGGTAGAGCCGGTAGAGGAAAGTAGAATCTACCCTTTTGAGTAGAATTTTTTTCAAAAAACGAACACCTCTACCGAAAGAAGTAGTTTCTACCCAAACCTGTATATCAAAAACGAACGCCCCCTAACTGTGCTGTAGTGAGCCCATAAGTGGGATCATTTCCAAGTCCGCCCAGAGTTTGGGGATTTCAGGGGTGTCGGCCGTTGGGCGGTTCAATAGCCAATTGAGTCATCTTTCCAAGATTCCTTTTGAATCTCTCTCTCTCTCTCTCTTGGGGGGGGGGGGGGGAGACTCGTGTGACCAGTCATGGCGGTGAACAAGTATAATTATGTGTGTGTGTGTGTGTGTGTGTGTGTCTGAGTGTGAGTGTGTGTATGCATGCATGGATGCGTGTGTATGTGCGCGTGTGTGCATGTGTGCGCGCACTTGTGTCAGTGCATTGCATTCTGATCTCCTCTCAATTGCTTTTGGATTTCGTTTCGGATTTCGTTTTGTTTTTGTTTGTGCAGTTGTTCTGGTTGCCATGACAGCCAGACCTGCTGCTGTGGATGCTCAGGTGACACTCTCCCAAACTCTAGTGATGCACACGGCCACCTACAAGCCGCCTGTTGAGGCGGCCTCCAGCATGTCTGCCAGCGCCTCTCCATCTTGCCCAGAGGCCAACAACGTCTCCCTGACAACCAATGAGCGGCAGCAGGTCTTCTTCAACTGCTGGATAGACCAGTTTCAGAGCTGGAGACAAGCGCTGGACACCTGGAAGAGAGATCAGGCGTGTCCGTAATCCTGAACGGGAATACGTGTGGAAGAGATCAAGCCCATCCGAAATCCTGCGCTGGAATGAATTTTTGTGAAACCAGGCGTATTCGTAATGCTGACTTGCACCGTGTGGAAGAGATCGGGCATAGTTTGCGAACTGGAACGCTTCTTTGCTGCCGTTGCCTTTCTGGTGTTTATGCGTGGCAGTGTGGTCACAACTCCGTGTCATGACCGTTCGTCCATTGCTGGCATACACTTCTGCACTGCACAATTAGATTTTACCATACATTGTAGGTTTTAGACTTCCTGTGATAACCGAAACGTGAATGGACTCAAGTCAAGGTCCAAGAAGGCACTCCACAAATCTCTCAGAATGATGCGATACGTGTACTGGTGCTGTGTTGCTCTGTTCATGTGCGTATGCTCGCCCACACCGTCATCTTGAAAACATGACATTGTACACTGTGGGTGGCTGGTACAGTAGACCAGCCTACTGCACGTGATCCTTGTTATCGGTATTTGCAAGTCTTACAAATGTTGGCATTTTTTTAGATTCCGGCCTCCGAGCTTACAGTACTTATTGCATGGCTGCTGGCACAAATTGTCAATGCGGCAGCTGCATGCTGCTGTTGTGTGGTGGCTCAATCATGCTATCAAGAGTACAACACATGCTACCTACACCCCTAGACGTATGATGTGCAGCAGGGAGTTGTCGTTACTTTGACAACTCCCTGGACGTGCAGGATTGTGCTGATAGCGATATTGAATCACACAGTATTTAGGCAAAAACAAAATTACTACTACTCCATGGTTCAAATCAGGCAGCATTTTTTTCCTACTCCCTGATTCAAATTGAAAGACTGCCTACATTCGATTGTGGAAACTGGATGGGGGGGGGGGGGGTACTAATCCCTGATTCAGATTGAAGACTTTTGTTGACCAGGCCTGCATTGTCCAGCTTGGCAGACTGCAGAGCAGGGAGAGCTGTAAAATTTTTACAGCTCCCTGCCACGGCCGGACCTTGTTTCCGGACACAGGACAGGTGTCACTTGGGAGCGGGGAGCAGTCCCGATACCTGCTCCCCGAGGGCACCCACAGTCCAAGCAAGGGCCACAGCGGTATTTTTACAGCTCCCTGCCGCGGACCTTGTTTCCGGGCACAGGGCAGGTATCACTCCGGAGCAGTCCAAATGCCTGCTCCATGCGGGCACCCACTGTCCAAGGGCCACAGCTGTCTCTGCCACCCATTCCCCACCGTCCTCCCTTCCACATGCACTGGTTATGTCTACTTTCTAGCTCCAGGGTCTATCATCAGGAATTCGCCTAACGACCGGCCGGAGCTTGGCCGCCGTCGTCACGGAAACACCACGAGCGGCTGCGACAACCAGGGCGTGCACCCTGACACACGAACACGCGTACGCACACACACCAACAAACAAACACACACACACACACGTGCAACAGAGGTTCATTGGCCAATATCACCACGGAGACAACAATAACCACAGGCTCCATCCAGAAAGGGCCCGAAGGAACAAACCCAGAACTGATAAACAGCCGCAAAACGTCAGAGAACGAGGGAAGCTGTTGCAAAACACGTGTCACAAGAAACACAGGAAGCCATTTCGGAAAAGGAGAAACGCGTCGTAAAGGCAGAGGAACATAAAATAAAGTACAGCTAGCAAGGGATTTTCGTGTAACGCTATCGTCTAAAAACCTCAAACTGCATCGCGAATTCTATAGCCTTATGTAACAATTTATCATTGGTATGTGTTTGATGGGACTAGTATGTGAAGGTTAAGTCTTCAAAGAATAATGCCTTGCATGTGTAGCAGATACAGGTTGCAGCATGCACACGGACAAGCACACACTGCTCGGGTTGCCGTCGGGTATGCAATAAAAAAATAAAAATAAAAGAGAGAGAGAGAGAGAGAGAGAGAGAGAGAGAGAGAGAGAGAGAGAGAGAGAGAGAGAGAGAGAGAGAGAGAGAGAGAGAGAGAGAAGAGAGAGAGAGAGAGAGAGAGAGAGAGAGAGAGAGAGAGAGAGAGAGAGAGAGAGAGAGAGAGAGAGAGAGAGAGAGAGAGAGAGAGAGAGAGAGAGAGAGAGAGAGAGGAGAGAGAGAGAGGAGAGAGAGAGAGAGAGAGAGAGGAGAGAGAGAGGAGAGAGAGAGAGAGGAGAGAGAGAGGAGAAAGAGAGAGAGAGAGAGAGAGAGAGAGAGAGAGAGAGAGAGAGGGGAGAGAGAAAGAGAGAGAGAGAGAGAGTTACCTACTGATGCGCATCAGTCCCGTTCAAGAGTAGACGAACGCACCGTTAGACGGAAGGAAATAAAAGTATGATATATACAAAATAAGATGAAAAGATGACTAAAATATCTCCGAGTTTATCCCAGGCCCAGAGGAACGTACAGACCAAGTACATTCACAAAAAGCAGGGGAAGTCCCATTGGAAGTGCCATAGCTATTGATGTGTGCATGTGTGTGTGTGTGTGTGTGTGTGTGTGTGTGTGTGTGTGTGTGTGTGTGAAGGAGAAACTTGAAAGCTACCTACAAGAACCAGTGCGAGTGTCAGTTCAATTTGAGAGGAAAGAGGATGGCCACGGCACAGCAACAAAGAGATTCACAAGCAAGCGCACACACGTACTAACACAAGCTGCTCAAGTGCCGCTCAGCCGTTCAAGAGTGTGTGATTGTCGGCGTACGCATTCATGCACGTGCGGTACAACAGGGCAAACAACCATACCTGTTTGCTGCAAACTCTTAAAGAAAGTGCTCTCCAATCGATCAGGCAACTAGTGCACCAGGTGTACACTGGGACAACATGTTCTCCATGGCGACATCATGGTGACCAATGAGAATGCTCAAAGCACACGCACGCACGCACGCACACACACACACACACACACACACACACACACACACACACACACACACACACACACAGGAGTCACTCACCCCGGGGGTTCGGTAACACGCTGCTACGCTGCCATTCGCCCCACCGCCACCGCCAGCAGCAGCAGCAGCAACACAAACGCAGCATAGGTGGCCCTGCCAACTTGGCGCACGCCTTGCGGGGATGTGACTGACGAATCCTTCGTTTCAGCAGCAGGAGTAGCAACAACAACAGGGTCCAAGCTAAGTCAAACAGTAGCAGCCGCAGGCCAGAGGAAGCTATGAAGCACGACGACGACGGCAGCGGCAAGACTGTGTCTGTGCACACATCATCAGCCTGCTGCACACATCATCAGCCTGCTGCACCATTATCAGACCTGTGCTACATCTTCGTCACCGGTTGCCAATACGCCAGCGCTGTCGTCGCCGGCATCGGCGTTCTGCAAACTGTCCGGTCCAGAATTGGCGTTCTGCGAACTGTCCTGCTGCTCAGGCTCCTCCGGCTCAGGCTGATCTTGGTGTTGTGCTGTGTCGGCGGGTGCAGCAGCCGCAGCAGTCGCAGCAGAAGCAGCCCCAGTAGTAGGGTGTGACTGGAGTCTGGCAGCCAACGCTTGCTGCACTAACGTCTCCAGTTGGTGCTGGGGTACTAGCAGATTGTCCTCGGTCATCAGCAGGTACAGCTTGACAAACTTGGTGAAGCGTAGGCACAGCGCCGTCTCCATCTACACAACAACCAGCACCAGCAACGCCATCACCAAACAACAACAACAAACAGACGCCCCATTTCGAAATTTTTGTGCACAAAGTGATCACAGATTTTATGTGGTATAGATCATGCTAGCCTAAAGGTTTTTTTTTGAAATCACGCGTCTCTATTTTTGAAACGCACTGTACAGTCAACTTCGCTAATAACAACTGCGGATATAACGACAATTCGCGAATAACAACAGAATTTCCATGCCCGGAGCAAAGTCCCATCTAACTAAAGTTAATGCATATAATGAGACTTCGGGTATAAGGCCACTTCGCGAATAAGGACACTTTTCTGATGCTCCGCCGAGTGTCGTTATACGCAAAGTTGACTGTAGTTCAAAATGAAATCGCATCATCGGGAAAGGCCTATCCAGGGCGCCAGGTTTACACTATGGGTTGGGTTTCACGGAGCACAACTTTAGCTGCTACAAAGTGTGTCTTACCTCAAACTGATCAAAGATATGCCGATGGTGGAAGAAAGCGTGCGCAAAGATACGATACACGCGTCTGCAGATAGAACCTAGCTTGGCCACTGCAGAGTCCTTGATGGTCACTCTTTATAAGAAATACACACACACGTACACACACACACACACACACACACACACACACACACACACACACACACACACACACACACACAGGCACGCGCACAGGCACACACACACACACACACACACGTGCACGCACACACACACACACATTAATTTCATGGACTGCATGCAAACATGAAAGTGGATGTGAAGGATAGAGGTGACAGGAGGATACAAAACAGAAATGAGCTATTGAGAGCATCTGAATATCTGCAATTGCATGAATGGAAGGGATGAGGGTGGGGGTATGAATACTTCACGAAGCAAGAGGTTCGTTGTTTGTTTGTTGTGCTTTTATGTATAGTCGTTCAACCCAAACAGGCAATGGTGCCTTCTCACAAGGAGACGACTTAGAAGAGGAGAGGGTAGAAAAAGAATGGAGAGGGCAGAAAAAAAACGCTCCCCTTTGGTTTTGTGGCAGTGAGGCTAGGGTTGTCTCCAGGGAGGCCAGCAGTTGTGTAGAGTCATCCTTACTCGTGTAGATACTAGATACAACAAGATCATACTTTGGCGGGACTGTGACAGTGACAGTGGATTGTGTGCTGCATACAGTACACTCAGAGGCGTAGCTGGTCCCCGTGTTAGGGCGGGGGGGGGGGGGGGGGCACAACCGGTATAATTATATGTAGCATGGTTGATGCATGTCATTCACGGTCATTATGTGCATGCTGAACCTAGGTCGAATTATTTAGGGGAATGCAGGTATTAGTGCTCGCTCTCTCCCCCTCCCCCCCCCCCCTCCTCTCTCTCTCTCTCTCTCTCTCTCTCTCTTTCTCTCTCTTTTCTTCTCCCTAACAAAGAGTAAATTATCGTGTCCGTTTCCAAAGGGAACTCATGACGGCCGCTAACACCCGGAAAACCCTACCCTTTCCAGTAAACCCTTTCTTCTCTTTACCTGCTGGGAAAGTACTTGTTGCTGTTGAGAAGTTGTGCTGCTCCATCCAGCGTGTGTCGCGTGTAGTCAATCGCGGGGCACTGGTGATGGATAGGACATACAGAGAGACAGAGATAGATAGATAGATAGATAGAGAGAGATGCTGCTGTTGTTTAAAATTTTAATCTAATGGGCAGCAAGCCCAATTACATGAGAGCGAATGTGTATAGTGCGTGCATACAAACATCATAGAAGCAGGGCTATAAGAGAATGCCATTATTCTAAGGAGGCGCATATATAATGATTTCCCAAAATTGACTAGTTTACGTGTACCAGAGGTAACGATTCTCACTCATTCTCAACACTCAATAAGACAGTATACGTATCAATTTCTGTACAACGATTTCTATTTTAACGACAGATTTCTCCTCGTTAACTCGTTAGAGTTAGCACTTCGTTATATATATATATGGCTTTTACAGTATAAGTGAATGCAAGCAGGTGCTGGGCGTATGCAGTCAATGTATTGCGTGCCTGAACCTCAACTTTGTCCTCCCATTCAACACATGCCGTGACCGTGCTGCCACCCTTATTTCCCATTTGCTCTGTAGTGCTCCTGCTCATTTTTCTTTCTTTCTATTTTTTCGTATTTTTCTGTGTGGCGCGCATGAGCGGTGCTGAAACCGAGACCCCTGGTCGGTTTAGCTGCTCTTGCCTCGCCTCCACTGCTTCGGCTGCCATCGCTATGTGTATCTCTGTGCGTTTTTTCCGGCGTTTGCACCATGATGGTTTGTGGTTATCTTGTAAAAAAAAAGAAAAAAAAGGTGAAGTTCAGAATTTAGGATTGGGAGACATCCCTGTTTTCTCTAGAAATTACGGAAATCTGTCTAACCATATGAGTTGGGAATCAGACACAGGAGTGCGGTCGATTTTGGCTACGAATCGATTTTTCAATCCATCCATGAAGCACCTCTGGCTATTCTCAGCACCCCATGTGAATGGGGTGAATCGATTTATACGAACCGATCCCAGGGCCAGCTGGTGACATGAAAATCGAACGACGAGATTCCATTCATGAATCGATTCATGGCAGTAATCGAACGCACTCAGTGACCGCGGACATGTGTTACTCTAATTTCAGAAATTTTCGGTGCAGAGAAGCAGTTCCCAATTGGTTAATGCGTGTTAGTGTTTGTTCGGTGTATTGAAATTTTGGGTATGAAACAGATGTACGGAAAGTACCGAAAATAAAAGTACACCGAAAATTGTGAAATTACAGTTCTCTAGAGCAGCGGCTGCAGAAAAGGTTACGAGATCTGACTAACCTCTTTGGGCTGCTTGTGAGCAGCACAGAGGAAAACCCAATCATCAGTTGCCATCATTTTCGTACAGGTGGCCGGAAGGCATTCATCCTGCACAAATACACATAAACACATAAACACACACACACACACACACAGACACACACACACAGTGACAGACAGACACGCACACACAGACAGACACACATACACCCACGGAAGCAGACAGACACACACACAAAAACACACACAGGGACAGACACACAGACACACATGGAGACAGACACACACAAACAGACAGACAGATAACATTAATTAAGGAGGTTCACTACAGTATCAGCCATTGCCACACATTTTTCATGGTCACTTTTCACCAAAATTTCATCATCGTAATAATTTGTTCATTCTGGTGGATTAACAGAGATTCACAAGCTGATTATGGATCTGCAATAAAATGTGTGTGTGTGGGGGGGGGGGGAGAGAGAGAGAGAGAGAGAGAGAGAGAGAGAGAGAGAGAGAGAGAGAGAGAGAGAGAGAGAGAGAGAGAGAGAGAGAGAGAGAGAGAGAGAGAGAGAGAGAGAGAGAGAGAGAGAGAGAGAGAGAGAGAGAGAGAGAGAGAGAGAGAGGAGAGAGAGAGAGAGAGAGAGAGAGAGAGAGAGAGAGAGAGAGAGAGAGAGAGAGAGAGAGAGAGAGAGAGAGGGAGAGAGAGGGAGAAAGAGAGAGGGAGAAAGAGAGGGAGAGAGAGAGAGAGAGAGAGAGAGAGAGAGAGAGAGAGAGAGAGAGAGAGAGAGAGAGAGAGAGAGAGAGAGAGAGAGAGAGAGAGAGAGAGAGAGAGAGAGAGAGAGAGAGAGGTGTTCTTGGGCCAGACGCTCACCTGCAACAGCACTGTCAAGTCGTTAAGCTCCAAGCAAAACTGCCTGCAAACGTGCAAGATAAAAGTACATGCACATGTGTACACAGCAAGCTTACACACCACACACACCATTGACCATTGACCATTTGACGCCCATAGCCGGAGGCAATGATAGCGATGCTACAGCAGAAGCCATAGCAGCTTGTGCTGGGATTGTACCATTCAACAGTTTGCAAGGCTGAAGAATTGACCGCCACTATTCAGCCTGGTCTACACCACACAGCTATGAAGTGGCTTTTTTCTTTTCTTTTTTTCCACACACACACACACACACACACACGCACACACACACACACACACACACACACACACACACGCACGCACACACACACACACACACACACATCACACACAGCACACACATCAGCAGTCATGGAGTAGCGGACAAGTAGGGCTGGGGGCAGAACTGATCCACTCCTTGACACAGTGAGTGGAAGTGAAATTCATGCCTACAGCCCAACTTGGACAGAGGATGGTCCAGGGTATTCTGACAAATCACACAAACGGACGCGTCACTCACTGTTGATGAGTCTACCTCATTCGGTGCTGCATTGATGTGTTGCAGCTCCGTGTGGTGAATTGCCTGGTCTTGATGGTGGTCACCGTGATACGCCCCGTTGAGGTACCACTGATATATACATGTACCGTATTTTCCCGGTTGTAAGTCGACCTTTTACCACTAAAAATAGAAGGAGAAAGGGTGGGGGTCGACTTACAACCGGGATTCGACTTATAACCGGGAACTATCAGTATCTTACAAAAATGACCTGCCCTGCATGCATGAGTGCACCATGTGTACACATGTTTGCCAGTTTAATATTGGCCTTTTTCAAGGATTGGGACGTTATACCCTCCAATAAGGAATGTTTACACGATTTGTTGATGTGTTAGTAGGAGGGAGTGGATGGTAGTGCTTCGTTGGGTGAAAACTTTAAAACGCAGAATTGAGACCTCCGGATACGGGGGTCGACCTATAATCGGGGTTGACTTACAACCGGAAAATTCGGTACCCTCCTCCTGGGAGATGAAAGCAGGTCCATCTTCCCTATGCCGAAGGTTGTATCGATACCAATCACGTACACGATGGTTACCTTCCCTGCGTGTCACTGCTGGCGCATTCTCCCTGTGGAGCCTTCTGTGGTGATACCACCGTAGAATACCGCGTGTGGCGTCACAATAACTGGCTGCAGGGCGATCGGCTCTATGACGGGCATCGTTGAGGTAGTACTCGTCCGCCGTCCTACCCAAGCAGGTTCATTGACGCGATGAAGGCGACCTCCATAGCACCAGGCGGACACTCCCCTACTATCAACAAGAGCTGGCCCGATGGAGTCTACTATCGCCGTGCCAAATTTCTTGCGGCGCGTTTTCATCTGCCAACTCCACAACAGTTCTTATTGGCGTCCGCCTTTCTATTAGTAAAGGACCCGCGGTGAGAGACCACGGCCGATCATCCAAGTCTACACCAAACGTATCGGCCATATCCATTTACTGAGAATAATGTAACAACTCCTCCACAAACGTTTCGACAACTGACGTCTTCATCCTGATTTTTCCTCTTGGTGGCTTTGGACAAGAGTTGAAAAGTCCAAAAGGTCAACTGGTGACTTTTGCGTTACTTGCCATGATTGGATTTTAGCGGTTGATGTCGGTATGCAGCTGGGAAGCGAATTCAACAGGAAGAAGATAAAGGTCTTGCTTTGCGGTTCACACCTTCACTTCCGTATCATTAGCCTTTGGGAAATCCGGTATATTGGTGAAATAAAATTATTATTATTATCAGCAATGGCATTCACATGTCATTGCGGGATCAGCATGTCGGGGGTAATACCCCTATTTCAGCACATGGGGCAGTGTGTGAAGCGCCGCCTCTTTGTCATGGTATATTGTGATAGTTGGTAAGTGTGCAGTGCTCACAGTTCTCTTCTCCTAAACAGAGTGTACTAGTTGCAGTAGGAAGCACTTTTTTGAGCTCTGCTGGTTCACAAGTTTGCACAGTTATAATTATCCGCAGTGGTGGCCTAGGGTCACCCCTAGCTAGGCCACCCCTGGCTAGGTTGAGAGTATGGTGCGTGGAGACCTGGGAAGCAATGACGGGGCAACGCCTGATGTTCCTAGTAAAAGAAGAATAAATAATGATAATAATAAAAATAATGCTCTAACCACTGAGCTATGGGACCAGGCTGAACCTAGAAGGCGCTGACTAGTTTTTCACTCCAAAAGCAGCTCACAACACTTGCCACACATACTGATGGCACTTGAGTATTTTTCCCTCCCCCAGGGGACCAACCACGGTCAGTGGTTAGAGCATTGCTCATGACAAGCAGGGTCCCAGGTTCGAGTCCTGGTGGGTCTGGCGTTTTTTCTCTTTTCAGGCAGTTCACTTCCCCGACTGATCCTTTGAATTTGAAGTTCTCCCAATCCTTTCCAAATAATACTTCAAGTAATAATAATAATAATAATAATAATAATAATAATAATAATAATAATAATAATAATAATAATAATAATAATAATAATAATAATAATAATAATAATAATAATAATAATAATAATAATAATAATAATAATAATAATAATAATAATGTACGTGAAGTGTGTGGGTACAGTGAGGGCTGCGTCCCACCCGCCTGTGTGGATTCACAGGAAGTGTGAGTTACGAAGTCTGAAGAAAATGTTGAACAGTCTCTGCTGGGATGACGACTACACCATAGCTCAGTGGTTAGAGCATCGCTAGCTACAAGCGAGGGTCCCTGGTTCGAGTCCTGGTGGTGACAGTCAGATTTTTTCTTCAGACTTTTCCCGTTTGTCTCTTTCCCTCAAACTAGTGAAGATGTTATGACTTGGGGCTCCCCGCGTGCTAGAGTGTACGTGAAGTGTGTGGGTACAGTGAGGGCTGCGTCCCACCCGCCTGTGTGGATTCACAGGAAGTGTGAGTTACGAAGTCTGAAGAAAATGTTGAACAGTCTCTGCTGGGATGACGACTACACCATAGCTCAGTGGTTAGAGCATCGCTAGCTACAAGCGAGGGTCCCTGGTTCGAGTCCTGGTGGTGACAGTCAGATTTTTTTCTTCAGACTTTTCCCGTTTGTCTCTTTCCCTCAAACTAGTGAAAATAATAATAATAATAATGTGGAAGAGAAAAGGACATATGGATACGAGTTAAGAGTAACTCTCCATCACTGTAACATGATACTATATACAGTCAGAAAGTGCAATAACTATTGTAGGCACAAAACTGACAGAGTACTGAAACATTCAACGTCCTGACACCTAGCTTCAACACATCTCCGTAGCGCTAACCGACAGCCTTCCAACTTGGAAGGTTCAAGGTTATGGAAAAGACCAAAGAGGGGAAGGCAAGCGCAACGAAAACGAGCAAAAGCTACAGTCCCAACGGAACAAAGAATGTCGATTGTTACTGGACGATGACGAGACCAGTACGATATTTGACAAAGCTTTGTTGAAGCTAGGTGTCAGGACGTTGAATGTTTCAGTACTCTGTCAGTTTTGTGCCTACAATAGTTATTGCACTTTCTGACTGTATATAGTATCATGTTACAGTGATGGAGAGTTACTCTTAACTCGTATCCATATGTCCTTTTCTCTTCCACATTTATTTATGGCTCAACATCCGAGTTTCAAATTGCACACCTGATGAGCCGTCACGAACCATACGGCGAAACGTACGTCGTGTGAAACAACTTGTTTTGTAGTCAACTAGTCCATCACAATGTCATGCATGAGGAGTACTGTAGGAGTTTGGCTTTCGGCTTGTACAATTCGTTTTCGCAAAGCTTCCCTTTCTTTACTTATCTTTGATATTTATGACCCACCCAAGTTGGGTGGTGTGCTGCTTTGCTGCTTTGAATTGTAGTTAGACCGCTTTGTCAAATATCGTACTGGTCTCGTCATCGTCCAGTAACAATCGACATTCTTTGTTCCGTTGGGACTGTAGCTTTTGCTCGTTTTCGTTGCGCTTGCCTTCCCCTCTTTGGTCTTTTCCATAACCTTGAACCTTCCAAGTTGGAAGGCTGTCGGTTAGCGCTACGGAGATGTGTTGAAGCTAGGTGTCAGGACGTTGAATGTTTCAGTACTCTGTCAGTTTTGTGCCTACAATAGTTATTGCACTTTCTGACTGTATATAGTATCATGTTACAGTGATGGAGAGTTACTCTTAACTCGTATCCATATGTCCTTTTCTCTTCCACATTTATTTATGGCTCAACATCCGAGTTTCAAATTGCACACCTGATGAGCCGTCACGAACCATACGGCGAAACGTACGTCGTGTGAAACAACTTGTTTTGTAGTCAACTAGTCCATCACAATGTCATGCATGAGGAGTACTGTAGGAGTTTGGCTTTCGGCTTGTACAATTCGTTTTCGCAAAGCTTCCCTTTCTTTACTTATCTTTGATATTTATGACCCACCCAAGTTGGGTGGTGTGCTGCTTTGCTGCTTTGAATTGTAGTTAGACCGCTTTGTCAAATATCGTACTGGTCTCGTCATCGTCCAGTAACAATCGACATTCTTTGTTCCGTTGGGACTGTAGCTTTTGCTCGTTTTCGTTGCGCTTGCCTTCCCCTCTTTGGTCTTTTCCATAACCTTGAACCTTCCAAGTTGGAAGGCTGTCGGTTAGCGCTACGGAGATGTGTTGAAGCTAGGTGTCAGGACGTTGAATGTTTCAGTACTCTGTCAGTTTTGTGCCTACAATAGTTATTGCACTTTCTGACTGTATATAGTATCATGTTACAGTGATGGAGAGTTACTCTTAACTCGTATCCATATGTCCTTTTCTCTTCCACATTTATTTATGGCTCAACATCCGAGTTTCAAATAATAATAATAATAATAATAATAATGTTGCCACTTGCAACCCGCCACGTATCCACAACACCTGCGACGGTTTTGCAAACCTCCAGGTAGACCCCTTTGCAAGAAGTAGGAGACGGAGAAACGAAGCGTTTGTGTTGAAGTTATGTACCTGAAACGTCACAACAGCTTAGTGGAGAATGATGGAAGCATCGAGACAGCTCGTCACGAAAGAAGCTTGCCCGTCGCGGAAGACAACCAAAATTCAAACTGTTCTTCACCAAACTCAAAATTTGAATTTCTCAGAAGCAGGTCTTCAGGAGACAAAATGGTTCGGCAATCACGAGTATTTGATCAGTGGAGCGTCTATTCTAACTGCAGGACGCCCGTCCCAACAGAGCGAGGAATGCCTGCATATCGCGGCGAGGGAGTCGCAATCGTTCTTGTAGGTTTGGCCCGACGAGCGCGGAAAACGGCGGGTGTCAGTGGCGAGCTGTCAGCTCGCGAGTTGTGGCGAAACTGTTTGGCGATCAGTGGCTGCATGTCATTTCCTGCTACGCTCCAACGTTTGCGAGGCCTCGCCGTGAAAAGGAGAAATTTTATGGCGAATTTCGTGATTGTTTGTTATCCATCCCGGAGCGCAATTTGTACGTCGTGCTTGGTGACTTCAGCGCCCGTGTTGGCAGCAGCCCAGGTGATGAAGAGGACGCATGGAGGCAAATACGTGGTCCTTATGGCATTGGTACCATGAGCGAAGCTGGTGAGGAACTGTTGAGCTTTCTATCCATGTTCAACTCTCGACTCTGTAATACGTACTTCAAGAAAAAGGACATTCATAAAGTTACCTGGCAGCACCCACGTTCACAGCACTGGCACTGTATTGATTATGTGATCACCCGGCAGCGGGATTTTCAGCGCTGTACAGATTGTCGTGTGTACCGGTCTGCTGAGTGTGGGACCGATCACAAACTTGTTGGGCTAACGTTGTCACTTGGTTGCCGCCGGCGTTTCTACCCGCCAAAGAGCAAGGCCCCTGATCGCCGTCGCTTTGATGTATCACAGCTAGGACCTGCTGACCCAACTGCATCAGATGATGATGATTTAGTAAGGCAAGCAACTGTGGCTGAGTGGTACCATACCTCATCCGACTGTCTGCAAGATGCTGCACCAGGGACCTCAGTTCAGGATCAATGGAGTTCACTACGGGACGCTACAGTTAAAGCAGCTACCTCTGTTCTAGGCAAGAGTCGCCGTCGCCAGCCAGATTGGTTCTCAGCCAGTTCTGCCGCTCTCGAGCCCCTCCTTGCACATCGTAACACTCTATTTCAGAAATCTTTAGCAGATCCATCACCTCTGGTCCGGCGAGAGTTTGTCCGTGCGCGCTCAGCTGCAAGGGATGCTGTACGCAGTGCTAAGCATGGTCAGCATTATCTTAATACTGAGGGTTTGGAACTCCAGGGACCTAGGCAAAGGGTCGTTATAACGTATTTTATGCACTAACGAATTATGTTGTAACCGGACCTGTAAACAGTTGTACAGACCACGTTTCGCCAGGGGATTTCAGATTTTACTAATGGGGTTTATGTACTAACCGGACTCGTTATAATGAGGGAGGAGCTGTACTTGTAGCAATGAAAGTCATGCTCGATTGTAAGTCGCACCCCATTTGTTGGCCCTGAGGTTCAGTGTGAAAAGGTGCGACTTATATTCGACGGGAATGTGGTACAGTGAAACCTGTGACTAACGACCACCCCTTCCTTGGGGCCAGATAAAGCGGTCTTTAGTGGCAGGTGGTCCTTAGTTAGAGGGTTGCACCGCACAACCATAATATGAATGTGAGACCGTCCGTGCCTGGCGAATTGGTCTGTAGTAGCAGGCTGGTCGCTAGTCACGGTGGTCTTTAGTTACAGGTTTTACTGTAGTATCAGGCTGGTCGCTAGTCACGGTGGTCTTTAGTTACAGGTTTTACTGTAGTACCAGGCTGGTCGCTAGTCACGGTGGTCTTTAGTTACAGGTTTTACTGTAGTACCAGGCTGGTTGCTAGTCACGGTGGTCTTTAGTTACAGGTTTTACTGTAGTAGCAGGCTGGTCGCTAGTCACGGTGGTCTTTAGTTACAGGTTTTACTGTAGTACCAGGCTGGTCGCTAGTCACGGTGGTCTTTAGTTACAGGTTTTACTGTAGTATCAGGCTGGTCGCTAGTCACGGTGGTCTTTAGTTACAGGTTTTACTGTAGTACCAGGCTGGTCGCTAGTCACGGTGGTCTTTAGTTACAGGTTTTACTGTAGTATCAGGCTGGTCGCTAGTCACGGTGGTCTTTAGTTACAGGTTTTACTGTAGTACCAGGCTGGTCGCTAGTCACGGTGGTCTTTAGTTACAGGTTTTACTGTAGTACCAGGCTGGTCGCTAGTCACGGTGGTCTTTAGTTACAGGTTTTACTGTAGTACCAGGCTGGTCGCTAGTCACGGTGGTCTTTAGTTACAGGTTTTACTGTAGTACCAGGCTGGTCGCTAGTCACGGTGGTCTTTAGTTACAGGTTTTACTGTAGTACCAGGCTGGTCGCTAGTCACGGTGGTCTTTAGTTACAGGTTTTACTGTAGTACCAGGCTGGTCGCTAGTCACGGTGGTCTTTAGTTACAGGTTTTACTGTAGTACCAGGCTGGTCGCTAGTCACGGTGGTCTTTAGTTACAGGTTTTACTGTAGTACCAGGCTGGTCACTAGTCACAGTGGTCTTTAGTTACAGGTTTTACTGTAGTACCAGGCTGGTCGCTAGTCACGGTGGTCTTTAGTTACAGGTTTTACTGTAGTACCAGGCTGGTCACTAGTCACAGTGGTCTTTAGTTACAGGTTTTACTGTAGTATCAGGCTGGTCGCTAGTCACGGTGGTCTTTAGTTACAGGTTTTACTGTAGTACCAGGCTGGTCACTAGTCACAGTGGTCTTTAGTTACAGGTTTTACCGTATGTATTTGCAGCCAATCAGACCGCTGTGCGACCAGATGACGTACCGTAAATGCTCGTACTTCCAAACGCCCTCTTCCTGCGACGCGGGAATCATTATCATGGCATCGACATCCAGCGTGTCACGACGTATACTCTGCTGAATGAACTGAACACAGTGCGCAGAACAAAAGCACATGCACAATGCGCCTATTATTGAGCATTGCCAAATATGGAGTGCAAGAGTAATGTATGCCAGTACTGTATAACGAGTAGAAATCTGTCGTTAAAATAGAAATCGTTATACAGAAATCGATACATATACAGTCAGACCTCGCATAACCGCACACATCCGTTTTCCACAAAAAATATCCGGATAGGCGAGGGAACCGGATAACCGAACACAGGTTATATTGGATGGATCACGTATGCTGTAAATCTGTAACCAGCTGTTTTCCTCCGGATTGCGAGGGATCCGGATAAAAGAGGACCGGATAAGCGAGGTCTGACTGTACTGTCTTATTGAGAGTTGAGAATGAGTGAGAATCGTTACCTCTGGTACACGTAAACCAGTCAATTTGGGGAAATCGGTATACCGTATTTTCTCTACTAAAAGCCCAGGTCTCCAATAATAGCCCAGTCTCCAATAATGACCCAGGGTGAGGGTGGTTTGAAATAATAAGAGCACAGTCTCTAATAGTAGCGCGGGTCACAATTGGAGTATGCAACAAGTATATTGACTGCATATAAAACAGCAGTACAACATACCAAGAACATATTTGTAAGGAGGTTTTCGGTCTACTGCTTCCTTCCTGGCGCCAATGCTATTGTGAAACATCTGTTTTGACAATATTCCTGAGTTTAGGGTTGAAAAATCAGTCTTGATATGGTCAGTTTATGCCTGTATAGACTGGAGTTGGCTTGATAGTTGACAATTGAACAAATAAGAGCCCAGTCTCTAATAGTAGCGCGGGTAGAGCTGTCACTGAAAAAATAGAACCCCGGGCTCTTATTAGAGAAAATACGGTATATGCGCCTCGTTAGAATAATGGCTTTTACAGTGCTCTGGGATCAGGATTCGGGATGCACTGGCTGCGTTCGATTATGCACTTGAATCAATTCATGAATCCATTCGCATGCATTCAAGTCGTTCGATGTTCATGTCATGAGCCCTGGAATCGGTTCGGAATCCATTCACTCTATTCACATCTGGTGATGTGAACAGCGCGAATCGATTCATGAATGGATTCATGAATCGATTCGCGGGCATAAACGAACGCACTCACTGTCCAACACCCCACATGACCATGCCCAGGTGGCTGTGTGCGGTGTTTACGGTACAAATTACGCCATTGCGCAATGGGCTTATCAAAACCACAGCTAATTCAAAGTGATCGCTGCAACGGAAGGAAACTATATGTATAGTGCGTTTCAAAAGGAGAGACCTCTGGTTTCAAAAAAAAAACTTTTGGCCAGCATCTATACCACGTAACGTCTGTGATCACTTTGTGCATACAATGGGCGTTTGTTATCCAATCGCTTAGAAATCTATAATGAGAAAAATCGGGGGAATTGCTTGAGCAATATCCTGAAGATATTTCCTAAACAGCTCAAACCAAATTTGAATTATTCGAAAAGTCGAGAGGTTTATACTTTTGAAGCGCACTATACACAGTTGTCTATGGCCAACACACCGCCATCTTACAACACCTAGAAGAACAAAACCCCATCCCCCGCGGACAAGGCATACCCAGATCTTTCTTTCTAAAATGGAGGGGGGGGGGGGGGGCTGATCGCAGGGAACACTTTGACACACACGACCTGAACAGCACTGGGGTCGGAGAAGAGACGTGGAGGCAGCACCTTGGTGAGTAGCTATAGTTCTTGTTTTGTCTAGGACGGATGCTTCCGCTTTCGTGACTAAGAGAGAGAGAGAGAGAGAGAGAGAGAGAGAGAGAGAGAGAGAGAGAGAGAGAGAGAGAGAGAGAGAGAGAGAGAGAGAGAGAGAGAGAGAGAGAGAGAGAGAGAGAGAGAGAGAGAGAGAGAGAGAGAGAGAGAGAGAGAGAGAGAGAGAGAGAGAGAGAGAGAGAGAGAGAGAGAGAGAGAGAGAGAGAGAGAGAGAGAGAGAGAGAGAGAGACAGAGAGACAGAGAGAGACAGACAGAGACAGACAGAGAGACACACACACACACACACACATACATACATACACACATACATACATACACACACACACATACATACATACACACACACACACACATACATACATACATACACACATACATACAGACACACACACATACACAACCAACATCAGTAAACTCACCTGCTGAACAGACAGTGTACTTTCCATCTGCTCAATATCCTCATCTGGCCAGTCGTAGAATTCCTGCAGACACAGTGAAACATAGACTGTGAGTTAATGATACTTGTAAATGTAAAAAACGAGTAGGGAGACTTATGAGTAACAGCAAAGGTTCAAAATCGAAAGCCAGGTGAAGATTACGCTGTGGTGGACCTCGACAACAGTCCGTTGCAAGTTTCAGTGCTCACGCAGGAGAGTCGTTTCCACCTTAGCCAAGCAGAGTACACCGAGCAAAACGTACAAAAACAACGGTCCAATTTTCATCACTGACAGAACTTTTCGCAGTGGGCTTACCGTATTTTACCGGTTGTAAGTCGACCCCGGTTATAAGTCAACCCCCGTATCCGGAGGTCTCAATTCTGCTTTTTAAAGTTTTCACCCAACGAAGCATTACTAACCACACTCCCTGCTACTAACACATCAACAAATCATGTACTAGTAAACATTCCTTATTGGAAGGTATAACGTCCCAATCCTTGAAAAAAAAGCCAATAAACTGGCAAAAATATGTACACATGGTGCACTTGTGCATGCAGTGCAAGTAGTTGTTTTTTCGAGTAAGAAACTGATAGTTCCCGGTTATAAGTCGAATCCCGGTTGTAAGTCGACCCCCACCCTTTCTCCTTCTTTTTTTAGTCGTAAAAGGTCGACTTACAACCGGAAAAATACGGTAATCACTTTGTATGCCGTATGACTCGCGCCGATCGACGTTGAACATCACAGCAGCTGCTTCCTGTCTGGTACAAATCGTACCAGATCTTCACAGCTCTCGCCAGCCTTCCCGACAGGCTCTGACGTCCCATACCGTCGAGCCCCGGCGCGGCCCCGTCGAATATGTACCAGGCTTTACAGTACAGTCAACGTTGCGTATCACGACACTCAGCGGGGCATCAAGAAAAGTGCCCTTATTCGCGCAGTGTCCTTATACCCGAAGTCTCATTTTATGTATTACAGTTAGATGGGACTTTGCTCTGGACATGGGAATTCTGTCGTTCTTCGCGAATTGTCGTTATATCCGCAGTCGTTATTACCAAAGTTGACCGCAGTACTGTGTCTTTGGAGGTACCGTACACCCAAGATTCCGAGATATACTGTAAAACATGTCTTTTCCGTGTACTGTATAAGCAGAAATATATTCGTCTGGAATTTTATTCCGTCTTTTTCGTCCAAGGAGCTTTCGGACTAAATAAAATGCCGGACTAATGTCGATTTGTCCAGCTTTTCAATACACTCTTATGATCCATGGACGAAATTTACAACCGGACGAACTCCCTTTCTTTGGAGTTGGACGAAATAATTGACCGACGAAATTTTCTGCCTGTACAGTAGCTTTAATTCCGGTAGAGAAGAGAGGCACCTGAATTTAATGACACCTAAAAGGCACTAGAGTATGCACTGTATGCGAAGGGAAAGCTAGTCACCTAATTCTACATTACACCTGAAACCTGGCAGGTCCCTGGCACCGAAATCGTGATGCACCTGAAATTACACGTTTTACAGTACCAACTTAAAGGCAAGAGTACAGTAATTTACTGTATGCATGCACTCCACCTGTCTCAGAACAACACTACCACTAGGACCAAGGGATGTTATTCCATTCAAATGACCCTGGATAAGGAGACCACCTGTCCTAGAAGACCACTGCAACCTGGACCAATGGGTGTTGTTTCCAGTCAAATGACCCTGGATAAGGAGACCACCTGTACACAGCGACACCATTTTGAAGGTCCCTTGAGCGGTCGCCTTGGATAGGTTTCACTGTATATAAGCTCCCAGGAGTGTGCAACTCCTGATACCCTTGAAAACTCACATCATGCCGTGTAGTGTTCCAGTTGTACGTTTCCAGCCCGTTATTAGCGAGCAGCGGAGTAATAAAAAAAAAAGCACTCTCTGACAGAAACTCACTGCGCGTGCGTATGCAACTCTCCAGCATGATCATGGTAGATATTCGGATTGCGAGCACGCTATCCTTCGTTTGTACGTACAGTGAACTTCGCTAATAACGACTGCGGATATAACGACAATTCGCGAATAACGACATAATTTTCATGCCCAGAGCAAAGTCCCATCCAACTGTGACACATATAATGAGACTTCGGGTATAACGACACTTCGCGAATAAGGACACCTTTCTGATGCCCCGGCCAGTGTCGTTATAAGCAAAGTTGACTGTAGTACAAAAGGAACCTGAGACTCGTGATGTGAGTTGCACTCCTGGGAGCTCATTTACTCTTCGTGATACATACCAGTATGTGCATGTACTCGCGTGAAGCCAACTTTCTCCAGTGCAACTTACCCCAGCTGTACGCCGGGGTCAACGAGCTCAAAGGGATTGTAGGTGCACTCATCTTGACAAGTACATGTGCCGTAAAGTACCGCCAGAGCGCCCCACCTTGATTTTACAGCCAAGGAAACGAAAATCGTGTGGCAGAGTGCAACGAAGTGTGTACGGCGTGAGAACCTTAGTATGCTAAGGTCAAACTTGGCCGGTTTTCGTGTGGAGCTCGTGTCTGCTTGAAGGTAAATTGAGCACGGATTGACTGCAGAATGTGTAATATGTGTACAAGGTTCGTGTCATATGACCCACCGGCAGGAGATCACCTCCACAATACGACCACGAAAGGACGAGATGGTGGGGTGCTCTGGCGGTACTTTACGGTACATGTATTACGGTCATAGGAAGGAAGAAAAAGGGAGCTAATTGTGCAACTCTTCAATGTTGTACATGCATCTACGCAATCCACACCAGTCCAAAGGAACACGAAGAAGTTGCTGTCCTAGCCATTTTTGCTTCATTCCCTGTGCAAGAGTCCATGAGGAGAAGGGAACGAAAACGTTCGGTTCTAAATTTCCTAGTGTTCTCTTGGGCTGGTGTGGGTTGCGTAGATGCATGTACTGCATTGAAGAATTGGAAACGCTTCCAATTCGTTCTAGACATGTGCAAAGCATGTGCAACTGGTCCATGTACTTTCCCAATCTGTACTCTCTTATACCACCATCCTTCAATGCGACGGACCCCACGATAGGCGGTCAGCCTTTGGGTCATCCTAATAAAGTTGTTATTATTATTATTACATGTATTCGAGTAATGCTGGAAAAACTGACAAGCTAACTCTGGTCTACATTCAAAGACTGAAAACAATGTGTTGCTATCGAATCCAGCAACCCAGCTTTACGAACCAAATGCACAGGACACCGTCCGCCCGTAGCTAGCTTGCTTGCAAGACATGCCAGCAGCGCAGCACAATATCTATGATGACTGTTGCTGATCTGTCTGTACCCAACTAAAACCAAGTCCCACGCCGAGGCTCAATCAGTCAGTCTTGGGCACATTTTTTTTGGAATTGGCACTCACCGAAGCTTTGCAGCCAGGACGATTCCTCCTGAGGATCGACTCTGGCTTCGCTGCCGCCATTTCTTCTCTTGCAACAGCACTATCTCTCACTATCCGCGTCTACTTCCGAGCTGCCGAAGACTCCCAACTTCTCCAAAAGCAAATTTGGTCCAATAATTATTATGATTGGTTTCAAACAAAAGCTGCAATCAAAAATCAGCGAGCAATCGAAAAATGTTCAAATGCATGCAAAATCACTTTTACACGTTTGTACAATGACACTCGTAGTCGTAGATTTACGAACGGACTGGAACTACTGCATGCATGTTATGTGTGTAGATCGATCTACCATGTGTAGATCTACTGCAGTACTGGCACTGCTGCAACCAGGCAAAAACCTGGGGCAGATCGGCTCGTACTTGTGACGTGTGAACTGAATGGGGCTCTGCCCGGGCCGGCGCCCCGGTTCAGACCAGGGAGTCGTAAAATATTTTACGACTCCCTGGTTCAGACCATGTACCAGGGATCTACAAACCAGGGAGTAGTACAATACCACTCCCTGCTACAAACCCTTATAGCAAGATCACATAAACCCTGTACTCTTGCTTATAATTATTATAGTGTTGTAGGGAGTACAAACCGGTACCCCCTCATATTATAGATGAGGATGAGGGTAGACCCTGGTTGCTGGCCACCAGGCCAGGGAGTTGTATAGGATACAACTCCCTGCTGGCCACGGATAATGCCCGCAAAATGGCAGAAGAATTTGGTACTTTTCTGTTCATGATGTTTCATGCATGATTGCCGAAACCAACGAAGACAGCAAAGGAAAGCTCAGAAAACACCCCACAATTGCAAGAAACAGCCAGATTTGCTGTGCGCCGATTGAGATGATTCCAAATGACTGCCAGTGGCCAAGTGGGCACGCTGTGTGTAAGGTCATGGCGCGCCAGGGAGTAATAAAAAAAAAAACGGTTTTTAGTACTCCCTGGTGCGACCCACTGACACACAGCCTCCCTGTGTGGCATTAATTCGGCGGTAGAGTTGCTTTCGACTTGAAAAACGACATGTACATGCAAATGGAAAGCAGAACAAAAAAATCACGGTTCGCGTCAGACTCGTTCCGCATCTGTAGGAACGCGGGCACCACCCCTCAAGGATCAAGGCGCAGAACAATGGAGTCTTCAAATCATTCTAAAATTATATAACAAGAATATGAGGATGAGTAAAGTGTTCACTCCTATAGTTCACGCACTACAAGCATGTAAGCGATCATCAGAAACCAGTCATTGAGCACTCTATTGGACAGCCTGGAACCTCTCAAAAGCTTTAAAATAATCTTTCCTACAGCACACAAGGATCAACAAGCACGACTAAATCATGATGCACCGGCTGTGCAACCAGTCAACAACCAGCAACGTGACTAGTGTACGCCACTTGTCTTCGACGGTCGCAACCGGAGATGATTCTCTGGGTGGACAGTGCGACAGGTGGCGTCCAATGGTTGCCACTGGAGTACTGTCATCAGGAGTCGCCGGTCATATTCTGTTCATGGTGGCAATGTTGGTACTAGTATTCGTGTGTCGACAGTGCCGGGGACAGGGAGAATTAATCGGACTGTGTCGTATCCGGCGACACTCGACTCAGGGGCGCGGGCAGACGTGATCGCTTTCCAGATAGAAGTAGTAGACGGCATTCTCGGCCGTCGAGGACGGCACCGCGCGGAGAAAGCGGAAGACGAGCTCGTCGGGGTTGCGGTTGCAGCGCGCCTCCACCTGGAACGTCTTGGACTGCGAGCCGCCCGTGTACATCAGGGTGACGATGTTCGGGTCGTAGTTGCTCACGCGGAACGAGACGCCCGACTGGATTCCCATGGCGTAGTCGGTGTTCGACGGATGGTTGACCTTGCACCCGGACACGTTCCTGCAGAAGCCGTTCGGGCCGGTGATGCTCATGTTTGAGCACGGGTTATAGTAGTAGTCGATCAGGTCGGGGCCGACCGCGTGCAGGGGTGCCTCGGGGTTGTTCAGGTCGGACAGGGTGAACGAGCCCAGGTCCTGGGAGAGTTTGCACGTGCAGTCGTCGCTCTGTGGCTGGCATGTCACCTGCGGCTGCTCACATCCGCCGGGGCAGGCGCACACGGTGCGCATCTCCAGCTGAATCATGGCGTCGGTGACGGGCGCGGCCAGGATCAGCCGCGGCGAGTGACGCTGGTCCTGGTCGCACACCAACGTGATCTCGGTGGAGCGGTTGCCGTCCGCGCTCGTGTACATCAGCACCGCGTCCGCCTGGAGGTTGCCGGTGAACTTGCCGGTGAAGCCGCGCCCGTAGTCGATGGCCCGATCGCCATTCGCCAGGCACACCGTCATGCCGTTGCACTGGTTGGGGAAGAAGCGCACATGCTCCATGTCCGAGCACGGGTTGAAGTGGATGTGCTGGTTGTTGTTGACGTTCACTCCCAGCGGGTTGTACGGATCGTTAAGCGACAGGATGTCCACCAGGCCTAGAAACTCGCCGCTGGTGTTGCGCAGCGCGCACGAGCAGTTCCGGCCGCCGAGCAGCTCGTCGCAGCGCATGGGCGCGTCCGCACAGCCGCCGGGACACGCGCACGCCGACGTCAGGTTGAAGTAAAACGTGCCCGGCGGCCCCTCGGAGATGTAGGAGAACAGAGGCACGCGCACGTCTGGATTGCACGTCAAGGCCACGTAGGCCTCCCTGGGCGACGTGGAACTCTCGTACTTGTACCGCACTGCTAGCTGCTCGGGATTGCCAGGGAAGACGGTGAACTCCGCGCCCTGCTGGTATCCAAGGGCGTACTGGTCGCCCGTCAAGCCATTCAGCTCACACAGAGCCACGTCGGAGCAGCTCGAACTGTTCGTGCTGAAGCTCAGGCACGGGTTGTATTCGAAGGTGTTGATGAGTTGACCGGAGTTCTCCGTGGTCGTGAACGCTGCCTCGCCGTCTGTGTTAGCGAGGCCGGTCAGATCAATGTACTTGCCCGTCTCTTCGTCCTGGCATTTGCACGGCGAAACAGGCCGGCAAATCGCCTCAGCTTCGCGAAGCGTCAACAGCATCAGCGCCGAAGCTAGCTGAACCAGGAGAATCCTGGGTGAGAAATCCATTTTCGTGGGATCGAGAGTCAATCTGCAGTGGGTCACGCCGCCTGGGGTACAGCAAGGAAGGAGTCCGGGTCGATAGGTCAATAGTACAACCTGACGCTCTAGCTCATGAGCTTACCGCTCGAGTTCAAATGAAGAACAAGAACTTGAAGAGGAACTAACTTCTTCCCTCAAATGAACTGCTCGTCTTGAAAACCTAAACGCCCTCCTATTATTTATACTATTTTAGCGCTGAGCGAAGGCTGTTTTGAACCAGTACTGATAATGTTTTGAATCAGTCTTCAGGTACCACGCTGGTGTGACGTTTGGACGTCTTTCGAGTCGTCACCTGACGAGAGTGCCTGGTACATGGTGTCAACATCAAACATTTTTGACAGAAGCAGATGCAGCATGGCTCCTTGCCCTTGGCAGCATCCATCGCGATATCGACGCGGACGCGCATCTGCCAGCCTATGCCGGCAGGCCAGGGCAGGCCGTTGCTGCTAATCACACAGACTCCACGTGACCCTATTGCAGGCAAGCACATGTATGCACACTGCGCATGACGGTGCTTGCTGGCCAGTCAGTGGATACTGGATACTACCATGATTACTAGTAGTAGACCATAGGGGGAGTGCATGACCTTCGAGTTCGAGGATGAACTGAATGATTATGTCCAATGAACCACTTTAGTAATTATCCACAATCTCAGGCCGGCTGCGACATGGCTTTCTGATGCCTATTCCTATTTCAGCAGTTGATGCATCGCTTTCAAGGCAAGAGCCCGAAGAAGCGACGACCACGAACAGTGACGCCCATTATTCTGGTTGGGCATGCCATCGCACTTCGTCTCCGGAAACCCATTCCTATTCCGACCTCGCTACAAGCACAAGCGCTACAAGTAGTTGTAGGTTACTTGTGGAGTTTACCAAGAGTAGATACACTATAATACTCTAGCTGATACTGGTAAGTCTTCTTGATCAGCGCACCTCAGAATGAACGACCGGCCGAATCACTGGTCGCACTGTTTACGAAGTCAGCTACAAAATACTTTCAAAGAGGCTCGAAGCATGCATCAAAGCCAGGCGCTCTGGACTTCGACTGAGAAATACACGTACGTGTACTGGTATTTCTCGAAGTCCAGAGCGCCTGGCATGATGTACCGGTGCAATTGTGTAGATTTGAGCAAGTAACTAACTTTAGTTAGCTAGTTACAACGTAACTACAATGCTGGCAACTGAAATCCGACCCCTGAGCGGTGCGCATGCAAACGCAAAGACCCAACCCGGGATGGTAAAACGCAAATACTAGTACAGAGACCTTAGAACTTTGTGAACGCATGGCTAAGGGGTCGGATTTCAGTTACCCTTCCACTATGTAATTACTTACAAGTGTCACGAATGCCTGCTTAGCATGGTCCCACTCAGCGATTGCAGTGATGGTGCGATTAGCCCTTGATAATGATGTTGCCATGAATTAGTGGAGAATGACAGATGATTTGTTAGGAAAGGGTTTGCTCCCCACATGCACTGGAGCTCTCGCTTTTCCCACTGACTTGACTTGACACTTGACTGGGCATACAGAGCACACGAGAAGTCCGTGAGTCAGTCAAGTGTCAAGTCAAGTCGGCGGTGAAGCGCGAGCTCCAGTGGCAGTGTGGGGAGCAAACCCTTTCCAATCCTTACAAATCATCGCCGAAGTCGCTATCACTAATAATTCGTAATGTTGTGCCCAGCGCGGGCTTGCGACTAGCTGGTTTGGAGGTGACAGCGTTGTGAATGACCTAGGGTCCTCGACGTCTGTTCTAACCTCCAGTCCAGGCTCCAGAAGCGACACTGACTCACGCTGCTATGGGACGGGGTTCACGAGGTGTTTGTCACCCTGGAAACGGAGCGCCTCTGTGTAGCATAGAAGGATCCATGAGTGTGTGTGTGATCACCGGTAGGCGGTAGCCTAATCCGAGAATCCTTAGTACTAGGCATTGGCGGATAATGCTCGAAAAGATGGCAGATTATGCTCGAAAAGCAGTGAAATTGGCAGAACCATACAAACCTTATGGCGGGCAATTCCTCGAATTCTGCTCCATTTCTTTATCCACATAATCAAACATGCATGAAACTCACCAGAAAAGTACCGAATTCTGCCAATTTTTCTGCCGGCATTATCCGCATATGCCTAATTGGTAGGGCACTGTCCTGGAAAGACAGGGGTGCTGGGTTCGAATCCCGCTCGTGGATTCTTCTTTTGCAACATATGTGATTTTATATCTCTGGTGATGTTTGTACCTTGAGAGCACTATAAAGGTGGTGCTCTTCGCCATGTATATGTACATGTCACCAGGACAACAGGAAGCCGTTTCTGATTGGTCCGGTAGTATCATGGCCGGTTTGTGTATGGTATTGCGGGTACACGGGTATTGCGGGTACACATGCCCTCCACAAAAGTAAACAAGACAGTCACCATGGTCACGGTTGGTGGCCAACACGTTGGTCCAGTAATAACCTGACCAACCAGATCGGTTCCGGTGGGCCTGTATGCTGTATGCCTGGTGAAGCAAAGCAACGTAAAGTAAAGTTAATGCTGCAAAAAATGTACAGTAAAACCGGTTAGGCCTTGGCGGATAATGCTCGAAAAGGTGGCAGATTCTGCTTTTTTTGCACCGAAATTGGCAGAACCATACAAACCTTATGGCGGGCAATTCCTCGAATTCTGCTCCATTTCTTTATCCACATACCAAACATGCATGAAACTTACCAGAAAAAGTACCGAATTCTGCCAATTTTTCTGCCGGCATTATCCGTCAAGCCCTAAAACCGGTCAAGGCGCCACTCCAATAAGGCGACTACATGTCATAAAAGACCACTGAAACCAGGACAAAGGGATACTATTTCCAGCAAAATGACCCTGGATAAGGAGTCCACCTGGTAACAGAGACCAGGTTGTGAAGGTCCTTGGCCTTGAGCGGTCGTCTTAGACAGGTTTCATTGTACAGCCATGTACCGAATCAGGGAGATACGGGCAGTCACAGATCTTCAGAATCCCCGGCACACTCCAAATCGACACTCGTGCAGATAAGATCGGCATGCCGTGGCTCAGTACATAAAGCCCATTGCGCATTGCCAAATACCGGTATGGAAGGTATGAGTAATGCATGCGAGTACGCTGGGATCGGCAACGCACGTGCGCACTGTTCAACACCCCAGACGGCCGGCCATGCCCAGGTGGCTGTGTGGTGTGTTCATGGTACAAATTACGTCATTGCCCAATGGGCATATTAAAGCGCACAAGACCGGAACACCACCCATGTCTAAGAATACATGTACATTGCAAACACGCGGCGGCCCGACACAGGAGGATGTGGTAGTCAGCGTTGATCTAAAGAGATTCAAATGGAACAATCCATTCAGTAATCGATCAGCAAAATAATCTCGATTTCAGGGTATGGACATATACATCACTCTGTCGCTGCTGCTGAGCACGTCGAATGAATAATTATAGACAACTTGTTTATGAGTGTACGTAGCTTCTTCTCTTGCCGGCAATGACAATTCAATGCCCCTGCGACCAATATGGTTATGGGTGATACATACATACACACATACACACATACATAGCGCAGATTGAGTGTGCTGTCACAGGTACATACACGCTGACGAGTCCATAAAGGACGAAACAGTTCTGTCCGCAGATTGAGTGTGCTGTCACAGGTACATACACGCTGACGAGTCCATAAAGGACGAAACAGTTCTGTCCGCAGATTGAGTGTGCTGTCACAGGTACATACACGCTGATGAGTCCATAAAGGACGAAACAGTTCTGTCCGCAGATTGAGTACATAGTACATGTACATGTACTTGTGTTCAAAGTAATTTGCTTGATGAGGTCGGTATGCTCTATGTACAGTATGTTAGTAATTTTGACAGTTGAATATTCTAAAAGGTACAGAGGCAATATGCTTTGGTTCTGCAAGAGTGCTCAATGCCTGATTCAGGCAGAGCGGCGTACACAAAGGCACACAATGAAAACCTTGGCAAATTTATTCCGTTGTCACAACGGAATAAATTTGCCAAGGTTTTCATTGTGTGCCTTTGTGTATTCTAAAAGGTATAATTATTGTGCGAAAAAGAAGGGAGATATAATCTTCTACATACCTAAACAAGCCTGGAACATCCTGGTCCATGTATATAAAGAACATAAGAAATCATCTGCAGACTGGTTTGAATTCGGAACGGTCGCCACCAGCCAGTGAGCTGGCAGACAACCAGCCGATGTAAGTAAAAAGCAAACGGTTCGTACATCCGCGTTACCAGCGGCGTACAATTGTGCTGAGGGAAAAAATGTGTTGTCGGAGAAACACAGACCAGCTTACAGTAGAGAAGTTTCGCTCGTGCCAGGCCACCACCGTACCTGGCCATCAGCAAATGTGCATGCCCATAAACTCATGCGATCATGATGCGATAAGTCAACACCACTCTACTCCTACATACATGTGCATGTACATGTAAACTGCGACACTTTGAACATCAGAAATAGCCAGTGTGGCACTGCAGATGGGGAAGTCCCTTACACATCGTCAATCATCGGCAAGTGGCGACCCTGACAAGTCCAGCTAGCCAGCCGAGTAGGGGGTTTCCCTCTATCTCTTCAGGAAGTGTAGTCGTAGAGTGAGTGTGATGAAGGCCAGGGTAGAAAAGCCCACGAATAGACAAGCCATGATAATCACGTCCCACTGGATCCGATCGATGCCCTGTGCATGAGGGAGTTGTAAAATTACAACACCACACCGGCAGGCACACGTATGCACACGTAAGCGTGCGTGAGTGCGCAGACATGCGTGTACATGCATACACACATGCACACACACACACACACACACACACACACACACACACACACACACACACACACACACACACACACACACACACGTGTTAGTAAAAGCAGGCGGGCATGAACTTGCACATGAGCATGCAGCAGGCTATCCCCACAGGATACCGTGATTCCGCAGACACGCAATTTCCCTGCGTTATTGGCTTTTATCCACGTTTTCGAGATTTTTTTACACAAAAGCCGCATTCTCTATAGAACTTTTTCTAGGTCGTACCAACGGTCACTTTTTTGGGGTCAAGTGCGAGAAATTTTTGAATCGCTGATGAACAGGCGAAGCCCACTTCACGTTTACTTTGTATGGGAATGGATGCGTGGAGGTGAAAGAAGCAGTAGAATGGCACTCCACTTGATGTCCGCCACTCGTGTTGAGTCAGAGCAGTTGCCAGGAAGCGCTTCCATGGCTTGGGCGAAAAAGAACCGGCTTCAGAATCGCTCCAAGCGCTGGTGGAGACGAGCCTGTCACTTTTCGTATACTTTTCGATGCATTTTGACATGCGACCTGTTCACCACAATCTTGGGGTGATCGCCGGGGCAGTGGTGGGAACCGTGTCCTTGAAAAGCTCTATAGGAATGTACAAGAAAATTGTTTATGATGGTGAATATGTACTACAAAGTCGTACCCGCCCATGAGTTTGTACGACAAGTTGTATACTTGCGTGACACTGTATGCTAAAGTTGTACCAATCCCAGATAACCCTTGCATAATGACTGCATAATGACTGCATTATACCGCATAATCCTGCATAATGACCTGCTTTTCACGCACACTTATGCGCATAATTTTTAGGATTTTGTCCGCATTGTTCCGTGAGAAGAGAGCATGGCATTGGCACAGTATGTGAGATGGGCCGACCAATTGGGATTCTTGCCCGGAAATGAACATCCTGGAGGGGAAACCCCTGTGTTATGAACCCTCTGATTCTAAATTGTCAGGAACGAACGACCACACGGCACGAGGACAACTATTGCCTCTTAAAACGGTATATTTGACTTGATCGAACATAATAACTAAAGTCCAAGACCGCCAACTATTTATAGCATGAAAACGGCGTACATCAAAAAGCACACACATATGTAACATACAATGGCAGCGTATACAGTAAATCACACATAGCGCATATAATGTATACCATTCAGTACACATCAGCGGTACGGCAGAGTCGAGATACAACATTGCAACGTAGACAATGTCATAAGCGAGAAGGCCTTTCAAGTTTCACACTTGTGGTTTTGTAACACCCTTTAATGCACCAATTCTGATGGGTCAACAATTATAGTGTCCAGCCGGCCCGGGAAATTTGGCCATGTCCGGTGATTTTGTTTGTTACACATATGGACTCTTTGAACATACCTCTCCGAGAGACAGCCTCGCAAGAACTTGACTCCCATCATCATAGCAGATCAGTGCTTGTTCTGTGCAGTTTCCTGGAGATTGAAGACAGCAGAACACATTACTTTATAAAGAGAGTGCTCTGGATTATCCTATACAAGTCGGCTTATGCGAAGGCTAGCCAAGCTTGCTTGGTGTTGTCAACGCGAACAAGCATAATAATAATAATAATGATAATAGTATTAACTGCTCTGTGTCTGAATTGCAAAAGAATGCTCTCCTCGGCTCGGCAGCTATCCTGCGTAGGGTACTTGATTTGTAATGCTCTGGGGTGGGCGGTGGAGTTCTTTCGGTCCTATTTTCCTCCAAACCCTCTTGTGTTTCCTATGATCGATATTCACAGTGAGACTACGATGTGTTATGCTCCGAGCCTAAATTTCATGGCTCTGCGATGACCAGAAGCGCCATACCAAGCATTTGAGTTTTCGACGTGTTGCTTCGCACTTGAGTTTTACTTCAAGTACGACTTTCGAAAAATCAACTTCTTGTCGCAGGTAAACAGCGGCTCGCCTCTCGCCAATAAAGCACCGCATACCAATCAAAACTAATGGAAGCACACACAAGGCTTATTGTTACTATGTACTGGCCGTCGTGGAGCGATAGCAATTACTAATTTCAGAACTCAGAGTGAATTTGACGTGCACTCTAAAACCTTTCTGGTTTGGAGCCACCTCTGATTTGAAGCGAAAAATTGGGCAACTTGGAGACAATGGGTCAACACAAAGGAGTGGCTCAGTTCGATTGATTCTGGCCTCAGAGCAAACTTCAACATGCCAGTTTCCTTCCACAAACATATTTCGAGTGAACAATCAACGCTGATGATCGGTTTGGGTCTATACAAATTTGGCTGTCAAGCCGTTCCGGTATCGAACCGTCGCCTGTACCTGGGGCGAAAAGTGGTACGGCCAATACTGTAGCGACCGTAGCGTGTCCAACACCTCTGAGTACTAGTATGATACGATCTCAGCATTACTCAGATACAATGTCTTGACACTTCTGTAAGCTCGGATATGGTCACCATGTGAATTCGAAGTACATGTACATATCAGTGCACATAAAAGTGTACATAGCAGGACTGACAGACCTGTCAACACGCCTCTTGTACGGGCAAAGCAAATGTGCTTACATAATAATTATTATGACGCAAAATCTCAATACCAAAAAAATGAACACAACGCCAAGAATCTGAAGAAAGAAAAAAACTCAATCCAATTCTTTGTTGCCATAACGGGAACTGAAACCTGTAAGCTCGGATATGGTACGGCATTGCATTGTATGGTGTGGTGTGGTGCATGCACGCACGCATGCACCACACGCACACATGCACACACACACATACACACTCGCACACATACACACACGCACACACACATACACACAGGCAGCTCACCTGGTAGAGTGTAATTGTCAAATTCGTTGATGAGCAATCCTTCAAAGCTGTACTTGAAGAAGCTAATGTATTCCAGCCAAATGAAATATACCGGTGTATTACTGAACAAAAATAGAAGCAATTGGAAAAAAATTGTCAAAGCAGACATTGCACCTCTGTTTCCAATGCCGCCCCTTCATGAAACTATTTTCTCAAGTGACACCGTATTTTACGGTGGATTGGCTGCACCGGAGTCTAAGCCATATCCCCCTTTTCGGGTCAAAATTCGTATTATTGTTGACTTTCGGTGTATAAGCTTTGGAATTTTTTGGGCCAACCTAATGGTTATCAGTTCATCATCGTGCTCTGCCCATTGCATCATCGTGCTCTGCCCATTGCATCATCGTGGTATGTACATTGCATCATCCCCCCCCCCCCACACACACAAGCACACACACGCACGCACGCACGCATGCACGCACGCAAGTACGCACGCACTCACA